GAGTGCAGCTTTTGTCTTCTGTAGGGTTTAAGACTAGATCGCTCTCTCTCTCTCTCTCCCCCTCCCCCCTCCCCCCATGCACGCGTGCACACGCGTACACACACACACACGCATACTTACACACATTTTTCATGCTTTTGGGTTCTGCTGTCACCATTAGGCTGATTAGGTATACCTTGTCCCCAGTAACAACTCATCTCCTAGTGGCCCTACAAACTATTTGAAAAACAAAACAGTATTTTGCCCCTCAGTGCAACTTGCTGGTCCTAAGTCAGCAGCACAATATCCTGTCTCCACATAATAACAGGGAGAAGAAAGTGCCTGGAATAGTGTGGATAACATTGCTACACCTGTTAAGCAAACCAAGGGAGTTGCATGCCGCACAGTTGGGAAAGAGGGAGTGCACAAACTTCATTAAACTAAATTTTCAAATTTAAACCCTTGATAAGCTTTTATGAGAGTTGGTATACCTAGCATAAGCTCAGGAAGGCTGTTGTTATCTCATTTGATTAATAGTTGCTTTTAGATGTTGAAGATTCCTGAAACAGTGTTAGACTTGTGGAAACATACGATACAAAGAATTTTCTTGGAGCAGCCCCATCAGAAATTGATAGCTTAAGTGTAGCATCATACTAAACTTTACCAATTCTTATGCAAGATTTTTAAAAAATACAGTAATAGGTTGTATGCACCCATAACACACGTGTGAGATTATTTATTTATTTATTGAAACATTTTTATGCCGCCCCATTTGCCGAAGCCTATATGAAATGGCTTAGTGTATGACTGAGAGTTTAGAATAGGTTGCAAAATATGTATAGGGGCCTATATGTGTACACTTACGCCCATATGTGGTGTGTGCTCCTGAAACATCTCAGTTCAAATTGTTCCTTTTTTGGCACTGTAGCCTCTTGGGTTTGGCATTTTAAGAATCTGGAGGAATCATTTAAAGATCAGAAAAGTCCATTCACTGCAGCCCCTGAAGGCTTCACATTTTGTGACATAGTCATTCCAGTCGACTGAGCTCTGTCGCCTGCGGATAAGCCCATATAAGGAAGCTGTTTCCTGCGTTCTAAGCTCTCTGTTTGTCCCTCTGCTCTTCTGTATCCCCTTTGCTGAAGAAAGCTGGTATTTTGAAACTGCAGCACTCGACTCATTCCTTTTCCCTGTTTATTTTTGGAGAGTGACTATTTTTGCTCCTCCTAGAGAGCTATGTTGGGTCATGCCCCCGCCTTCTAGCAAGCAACAGCCCCCAATGACCAGGATTGTCCATTTCCCACACTCATAAATATTGCCTGAAGAAAAGAAATGTTTCTACACCTGTAGGTGTTGCTGGGCATTTCTTCGGGAGCATAGCTCAAAAACACCCTCAAGATCTGTTCCATTCCCTTGTTCTTTTTTGGTGGGATTAGAATATTCTTTCTTTCCTTTAGTATGAAAGGACTAAAGAAATCTAAAGAAAAGTTTATACTTATGCAAATGTTAGAACTCTGTCTGCCAATCCAAATGCATATTAAGAGCATACAGTAATCCTTGCAGGACTGTATCATTTTGGACTGCAGGTGGCATGGGAGATCACATGTTAAGAAAGTAAGAGTACTGCTGAATCGGACTAAGGGCCCATCTAGTCCGGCATTCTGTTTCCAGCAGTAGCCAGCCAGCCAGCCAGCCAAATGTTGGTGAGAAGTCCATAAGCATTCTAGAGGAAAACTCAACATTGAGGTTGCATTTAGCCACTTTGCCTAATAACTGATTATTTGTCTAATCCCATTTTAAAAACACAGAAGTGGCCATTCCTCTATCTTGTTGTGGCAAATTCCACAAGATAATTATACATTGTGTGAAGTATTTTCTCTTGTCTGACCCTAAACTTACTGCCAAGTAGTTTCATTGGGTGATTTTGAGTTCTAGGATTATGAGATAAGGAGGAAAAAACCTTCTTTTCCATTTTCCTCATACTATTCATAGCTCTCAGACATTCTGTCAGTTCCTTCGCATAGTCGTCTTTTCATCTAAATTCCCCCTAAGAGAAGTGCTCCGTTGACTTAATCTCTTTGCTTGCCCCCTTTTGTATCTTTTCTAGTTACGATATATTTTTGCAATGGAACAGCTGGAAGTGATTGGGTTTCATGTAGCCATTCACTGTCTTCTAGCTAGCATCAGTTAGCCTGCAGTCAATGCAGATCAGTTCTGCGGCTGCTGCTGGGAAATGAGAACTTCCGTCTCCAACCTCCAAGTCCAAGTGATACCCGTATTTCTGGTTGCTCAAGGCACATGCTAACTTTTGTTCAGAGGTGGATAGCTTATGGCTTTCCAGGTGACTGAGCCTAGAACTATCAGTCCTAGCCAACATAGCCAATGATGAGCGATGGTGGGAGTTATAGGCCAAAACATCTAGAGGGCCACATGTTGCCCACTCCTGTTGTAGCTGACAGGCCTGAGGGCTTATATTATCCCACAGGCAGCCTGCCCACATATCTTCCCTTATTTATTTATTTATTTATTTATTTATTTATTTATTTATTTGATTTATATCCTGCCTTTCTCCTACAAAGGGCTCAAGGCAGCTTACATCATTCTTCTCCTCCATCTTATCCCCACAACAATAACCCTGTGAGGTAGGTTGGGTTATGAATCTGTCTTCTGTTTGAGATCATTTGGTGAGGGCCTTCTGCTATGTTTCTGCCTGCAGACGTGCAATCAGCGTGGAGCCATTTCCAGTAGCAGTATGACTATTAGATGTTAGAGACAAATGAGGGAGGCTGTCATTTCCATGCCCTACATGAGAGGGTCCACTGCAGGCTGTGCTGTAATGATTGAAAACAAATGCTGAACTAGTTATACCTGTCTTTGATTCTTACATTCTTGATGTGTTTTCCCACAACACCGAAGCTTAGTTCATCCTGAGTTGCAAATGAGTTTCTTTCAACCCCTACAAATCTAGCTGGTATGTCTCCTATCAGGTATGATATTTAATGTGCAGGTAGACAAGCATTAAGATTGGAACCTAAAACCAAACCAAACCAGCAAGATTGATGCATCATTGTTGTAATTTATATACTTATAGCTGCTCTATAAGCATAGATTCCTCTTGGGTTTCACAAAGCACTGTAATGTAACACCTTAGGCTTCCAGAATAACATCAGTCACAATATACTCTTTCTTAAACACAGGAGAAACACTCTCATGAGTAAACCTGCATGATACATCAAGTAGAGCCTAGAATCTATTGATTTGGCTGGTGCCAAAAGCAAAAGAAAGCTTTAATTACTAGAAATAGTCTTTATATCAAGGCCATTTTGGCAATGATTCAAATTCTGGAGAGCACCTATAAGGCATAGTACCTTTAGTTCCTTCCTTCCTAGGCCCTGTGAACTCTCATCCTGTTTAACTAAGTAAGTAGTGCCTTTCATCTCTTTAGGAAGCTGGGGGCTTCTTGACTTGCCCAAAGCAAAACTTATTAAACTAGTCTTTCACAAGGGAGTTGTATTTTTTAAAAAAGCAAAGCTTAATTTAAGCATCAAAATAATGAATATATGAAACAGTTACTTTGGTAAAATACTAGCTCATACAATAGAGTCACATTATAACAATATCATAACAGGTCTCTAAAAACTTACTACTGCAATCCAAAGTTGTTCAGTGGTTAATGTGAAAGTTGACCATTTGCTTCAGGACCACATACAATTTTCCCAGATGCAGGAAATATGATTCCCAGTTAGATACTCCTCAGTGAAGCCAAAACTAAAGGCTGACTTTGGCCTCATCTTCATTATGGTAAAAGGCTTAAGCAATTTTTAAAGTGGAGGGAAGAAGATTGTTTATCTATTAGACTTGTATTTTGTCTTTTTCTTTTTTAACGAACTCAAGCACCTTACATTGTTCTCCTCCTGCTGCTGTCAGTCTTATCCCCACAAGAACCTTGTAGGTAGGTTGGGCTGAAAGTTTGTGACTGGCCTAAAGTCACCCAGTTGGCTCCATGGCTGAGTGGAGTTTAGAACCCAGATCGCCTGAGTCCAGTCCCACACCACATTGGCTCCATACTATATGCACACACACACTATCCCAATTAATTGAAACCCTCTCTGTCGTGACTTCAGTAATCATGGTAACAATTTTATATGATTTTTAGTTCAGCTTTAAGGGTAGAACTCTCTTTTAAGATTTATATGATGTTTCAGAATATTCTACAGATTTCATATATAACACATGATGGCAGGAAATTCATGCACACCTATCTGACAACAAGCTCCACAGTAGAATTTATTTCTAAATAAATGTGTAGGAATGGGCTGCAGCTCGGTGATCAGAGATCTAGTCAATACATGCAGCACAGAATGAAGTGATTAAGTTCTGAGGTGGTAGAATGGGCTGTATCAGTTCTAGCTGCAAGAGGATAATCACATTTTTGAATGTTCCCCTAAAGCAGGCTTCATCCTGCATTGTGGGGTGATTTTAGTATCCCTGGTGCACATTCAACATTGTGATTTAGATAGGAGTTGTCCTACTGGCTCTTTCTTTTACAACACTGTCACAAAGCACCTGGTCTAAAACATCCCCAAATTTCTACCATTTATGTTTTGCTTCTTACATTTTTGAATAAAAGTAAAATTCCTAGGGTGACAAAGTCACCCAGGAAGCTCCATGGGAATAGCTGACTTTGTGACACCAAACAAAGCCCTCCCACAAAATGTTACAAAGCAAGGTTCAGTTCAGATAATATTGGTCTCATTTTAAAGCTAAGATTCTAAGCTAATCTTAGAACCCTTTGAGAGAAAATGCCAACCAGAACAAAGGTGTATAGGATTTTGTACTTTACTGCTTCAGGCACTTTCTCCTGGGGTTATAAAGTTACCCAGAAGCAACATCTGTTTGGTGATTTTTTTTTTAGCGTAGTTGAGTAATTAGTAGTAGTAGTAGAAGTAGTAGTAATATAAATAAATAACAACAATAACCTATTTTATTCTCTCTTCCTTTTATTGCTCGATGCTTTCTTTAAGCGCCCATCATCTAAGCCTCATATCCGGAAAGGAGTGTGGTCTGGCTTGGTTGGTGTGAATGCTTCCAAGTAAGTGCAGTTTTGTTTAATAAGCAACAGTTTAACCATACTGATGTGATCTCTTGTTCAGTTTTCCAGAATAGCATTTTTAATGGATGTTGCCTTTCAGGTTTTCTTGCCTGCTAGTTGTATTTGCCTGGACGGTTTCCTGTTGCATCATTTACTACAGAGAAACTATCTTTCACAGTTGTACCAGCCCATTTGTCCCCTAGCTGGTGTGAAAAGGCCAGTGAAAATCAGTTCTTGAATTTTTTTTGGCACAAGATAAAATAGCCTGGCATAGGTGTCTCCCTTTCTTTGGCAATCCAACCTGTCTGCTTCTCTACAACAGTTTAGGATTAATCATAAGACTCTGACAGAAGAGTAGAGGCAACAGTCAAGGCTCTGTAGTAGGTCTTTCTAGCTTGGAAAATAAATCTAAGGGATGTTGAAGGGGCTGTCAAACTTCACAATTTTTGTTGAGAGCTATTTCAAACATCACACCACCACCATCACCACATTAAATTGTTATTATTATATTATAATGTTCCTACATGGAAATCTGGGCCATGTAGTAAAAGATGAGTTATCTGCAATCTGTACACTATGACATAATGACCTGGTTCACATCAAATGCTAATCCATGGTTTATTTAACTGGTGATTTGTTGTCCCAGGGTTTGCTTGTGGAACAATTGAATAAATCATGGTTTGTTTTCACAGTCCTCTAGGTAGTTTGTTGCTCTCCTTTGCCCACTTCTACCCTGCATCCCAAATGTCTTTGTACTGGCACATAGATGGGCTGGTTTGGGTTTTTTTACTGCTTTTGCCTGCCACTTCTGTAGGCTGACAAAGCAACCCATGAGCAACCCACAGTTCTATGTTCACACATAACAGCAACGTATAGTTTAAATAACCCAGACTCCACAACCCAACCTCAACCAATGGGTCTTCTTTCTGGCTTGTTCATGATAATGTGGCTGAGTTCACAAATCATGACAACCCAGAATTCAACAACCCATGGGTTAAATAAAATAAAATAAGATCAGTTAGCATTATGTGTGAACCAGGTCAATATTTTTTACTGTTATTGGACAATTGAGCAGTGTTCTGCATATACAATCAGTGTCTGCAGTGGGTTAAACACCCCCTAATTCTTCTGAATTTTCTTCAGAATAAAATTGAATTTGTTGTGCTAATCTGAATGCCCTCCGTAAAGTAGTATGTGGGGGTATTATGGGTGAAGTATGGGTGGGGGACAGGGGAAACAATTGTACTAATCACATTCTCAAATTGCTTGGTTATTTTACAATTATTTGATAAGTACTGTGATGTTGTTCATTTTTAAAAAGAAAAACAGTGCTGTGATCTTTTCATAGTTTCTAGTTCATGTTATTTCTCGTCTGTCCCCATCTCTGTCAAGATCTACCAGAAAGTAAGGAGGAACTGTCTGGTCTGCTTGTATCAATCTATTCAGGTGCAGAGAAAATGTGTGGGTGAAGCAGGATGTCATAGGGTCAGTGGATTAATTCACTTTCTGTTACTTCTAACCAGGAAAATTGATTTGGACTTTGAATGATTCACAGTTCAAACAGTCTCCTGAAATGAATTAAGTTTGAAGTACGAGGCACCACTATATATACCTTCATGTCAGGCTTTGGACTTTGCCCGGGCAATTATCTAGTCTTTCTTACCCAGTTGGTATCCTGCCTTCCTAGCTTAATGCAGGCTAGATGGAACAACTGTCAGGTGGATCCACAGTTGGCTCCAAAGTCAGACTCAAAGTGCTTCTGAATGGCACCTGCTCAAAGTAGAGTGAGGCAATGAGCAGGATATCACAGGGGTCAGCCCTGGGACCAGTGCTCTTTAATATTTGCATTAATGCAGAGAGGTGCAAGAAATGCTTATTAATTTGCAGGTGATGCAAAAATTGGATGGGATAACTAATACCATAGAAGAAAGAAACAATATTCAAAGTGATCTTGATAGGCTGGAGTGCTGAGCTGAAAGCTGCAGAATGAAATTCAATAGAGGCAAATGCCAATTTCTACACCTAGGAAAAGGGAATCAAATGCACAGTGTGATAGTTGGCTCAATAATATTACAAGTGAGAAGGCTCTTGTAATTGTTGTAGATCACTAGCTGAATATGAGCCAATTGCAAAACACATGGCTGCAAATAAAGTGGATGCTCTATCAGGCAGTATTAATAGAAGTATAGCTTCCAAATCATGTGAGGTACTGGTTCTCCCCTATTTGGCACTAGTTAGGCCCCGTGTTGAGTTTTGTGTCCAGTTCTCAGTACCACGGTTCAAGAACGATGCAGACAAACTGAAAAAAGTTCAGAAGAAGGCAACAAAGATGATCAGGGGACTGGAAACAAAACCCTATAAGGAGAGATTGAAAGAGGTAGGCATATTTAGGCTGGAGAAGAGAAGACTGAGGGGAGCTTTTCAAATACTTGAAAGGCTGTCACACAGAGTATGGCCAGGATCTCTTCTCAATCATGCCAATGTGCAGGATATGGAAGAATGGGCTTAAGTTACATGACGCCAGATTCCAGCTGGACAACAGGAAAGACTTCCTGGCTGCTAGAGGAGTACGGCAATGGAAGCAATTACTCAGGGAGATTGTGGGCTCTTCCACGGTGGAGGCATTCAAAAGGCAGTTGAACAGCCATCTTTCAAGGATGCTTTAACTTGGAGTCCTGCATTGAGCAGGGTGTTGGACTCATTGAGCTTATAGGTTCCTTCCAACTCTACTATTATATGCTTCTGTGATTTTCCATTTTTCCTACTTGTTGACTGTAGCCTTTGGACAAATGTCTTGGCTTTGACTCTGCCCAATAAGTTACTTTGTTTTAGACTGGGCTTTCTAGGAGATTCCTTAAATTTTTAGCCAACTACTCCTGGAGACCCCTTACAGCAGCAGCTGATCCTATATGCAGTCAATATGAATTTGCTAACTTTGTATTTCCATGGCTCAATTATCTGTCCTAGACAATACATGCAAAGCAGTTTGTTCATTCCCTCATATGTTTCCCCTATGCTGCTCAATGATTCTTAGTTTTGGTAGCAGGTGAGGAGAAATTAACATGGAGTTTTTTCCATTCACAGAAGTATTTTAAAATCCATTGCATATCCAGAGTTGTTGACCACAGTTGTATTCAACGGACTTCTAAATTTCATTTTTAAGAACTGGTAAAATGTCTTATCTTAAAATCAGGTTTCAAAGGAACTGTAAAGCAGTTAAATAAAATCTGAGGAACTCTGTGAATTCACTGTTTTATTTCTGCAAATACTTTATTTCATTTTATTTTTAAAAAGATTTTATGCGGTATCTACATTGGAATATAATGAAATTCAGTCTGAAAGCAAAAAAGGGTTACCCAGATCTGCTAATTTATTTTGTCTGTAGACTCATCTGTCAGTGTGTTGGAGGGAGGGGGAGAGAAAATGGGAGGATTGAAAAGACCATGAATGTTTAGATTTTATTCCCTTAATATTGAGCCAAATTCTTTGCTCAGACCATTGTGTACTAAATTGATGGAACTATATAATAGAACTGACATCATGCAACCTCTGTTTAGCCTCAGCAAAGGGAGAGCAAGGTATGCTGAAGAGAGGAAAGAATCCAAAATACATGAACAACAATGTGAGCAACAAAATGTGCTCTTCTTGGATTCTCCCTGTAGTTATCAACCACCCACTATCCCCATGTAATGTACATCTCTGTATGCAGAAGGATAGATTATGCTTAACCTTGTCATTTCTGCTGCAAAGCCCAGTTTCCGTCCAGCAGAGGGCACTCAAATTCTGTTCTGAAAGCTGTGCTGATGCACTTCATGACATCATTACCTTTTGATAAACAGACTTACGGTAAATGGCCCGTTATGTTAGCTCATGCATTATATTTATAAGACACAAGGGAAAAAGAGCATGTGCTTGCTAAAGAGCTCACCAGGCATTTGGCGAAGAGTACTTATTTTCATATGTTAAAGAATTTAAATAGCATGAAAGGGGAGAGGGCAGAATGAGAGATTCACCAAGTCTCTTATAAACACAGTTGTTCCTAATTTCTTCTTAGAGATCTTCTTTATGAGTTCTGTTGCAATTGGTAGTTGTTCCCTTCTCTTTTGTTTTTTAAAGCTAGCCACTAATTGCTTGATTTGTGTTTTTTCTCAACTGACTTAAACATACACATATACTGTAAGGCTTAGAATAAAAATGCTCATTTTGGGGAGCCATCAGTGTTGTTATTATCAAGTGCATTCTTAATGATGCTTCAACCTTTAAAAGAAAATATTGCACGATAGCAATATTAACTATATTACAGATGGTTAATTGTGATTACATAATTCCAGGCCAATGGTATAACTTGAATCAAGTCTGGAAGTGTCATGGAAGTCCTTTCATACAGTCTACTTGCATTCAAAAGAAGACAGAACAGTTTACTTAACACTTGAACAAAATGCTTGTCTATGTACGTATTTCACTTCCTTGCTGATTGCTTTTTGAGCACTGTAAAATATGTGGTTATACTGTAATGTTGTGGCTGAGAGACTGAGGGTAGTATCCCATGATGGTACAGCACTTGTGCTAATGACATGGTAGCCATTTTAAGCCAATGCTACTGCAATGTCATTAGTGCCTGCTAGCGCAAAGAACAGAGGCAGCAAAGACAGTGAAACAAACTTTCAACCCAAAGTATCTAAAACTGCTTCTCTCCCACCCCCCAGAATACCTAATTTCAGGACCTCTTGCAGGCAGGAACACCATCAGGACAGATATACACCATCAGAACTCTCTGTAGATATGATATCTCTCTCAGTGGAGGGCTTGTGAACTCCATCCTAAGCTCCACTAGCCAGTGGACCTGGAGATTGCTTACTTAGCCCTGTTTAAATGAGAATAAACAAAAAACATGTTTTAATGTTGATACAGTTGAGGTGTGATAAAATATAATGGATTAATCCAGAGAGGGAATGTTAGACAAGAGTGAAAAACAGCTATACATGGCTATTTTTCATTTG